AAATATACATATTAATATGCGAAACAATGCTTTGCCCAAAGAGTGCTCAATGACTGGTTGCTAACCATAAGACCTTAATTAAGCCTATAGTATTTTCATTAGTCCTGGATCACTTAAACTACATGCAGCTTAATTATTTATTAAGACTATTAAAATAAACTGTTTAATCAATTTGTTAATTAAGGGCCTTCTTTATGCATAACACTGTCTGGGAGCTAAATGTTGACTGTTACCTATGCAGGAAATACATTTTTATTGACATATTTAATTCTTCCAGTTTAACTAAAATTCACTTTAAACAAGAACTGAATAACAAAGATTTAAATCCTTAAAACTCCAAATAGTAGCAATTTTACTTGATTTAAAAATAACTACTGCTTTTACACAAAACTAAAGTCATTTATCCCTCTCTGGGGGTCGAAGGAAACCCAGAAATGACATTCCTGACCTAAATGTTATAAAAATTATACAGCACTTGAAAAGTGGGTCAGCACTTTATCATTTACAAATCTAGGTCAGGTCAGCATTTTCCAACTAGTTTGTACCTGTAAATTCGTATGTACCACTATTATCTCTTAAAATGGAAAAACAACAGGGAAATATAGGGATAAATGTAAGCCTGTATGTGAATGTGCAAACACACACACAAATACCCCATTTATGCAAAATAATTACAAGTAATTGAAAAGATTTTTACTAATACATAGAAATAGTTAACATCTTTTAGCATTATTAGCACATTAAGTTCAACCTTTGTTGCTTACTGTAAGGTAGCACTGATACTGTACCAGGTTATCTTAATCTGAATTTAATTTGAAACCCAGAAGTCAGGATTGCTTAATGTGTCAATGTTAAGAACACATTAGCTTCTCAGAGTGGCTAGTGTATAAATTTGTCCTTGGGTAAATCAGCATATCTAAGCATCAGTTTAATTTCATTTGCAAAATGAGGGAGCTGGACTAAATAGACATTTGATCTCACTGGTTCTGTTTCAAAAGTATAGACTTTCTCTACTTACACTTTGCACTTAAAATTAGTAACTTTCATGGCTATGGGTAAAGTTACAGTCCAGGGTAGAAGCACTTCAACTCTGTTCTTCACTGGCAACAGTGGTGGTCATTTGCGTTTATTTTCACCTCAGTCACGGTACCTACAATGCATTTGCTGTGTTTGTGCTGCTTAGTTTTAGAGCTATTTTATGGACAACTCAGATCTAAATATAAAGCAACAAGGGTGTCCAAGGTATTTATAAGAGAAAGTGCAGATAAAATAGGACCCACATCAGGTACCTTAAATTATGCTAATGCAATGGTTTTCATAGTGTAGTTCATGGAACCCTCTCACAGGTTTATGAGGTAAAAACTATTTTTATAATACTAAGAAGATATTTGCCTTTTAGCTTTTATGCCTTTTGTGTTAATGGTGTGAAAGTAATAACAAGAGAATTATCATCTTAACCAACTTTTCTACCCTCCAACCACTGAGGCATACCATCCTTTTCTTCTTGAATTCTGGAATTAATGGCATTGCATAATATACAGAGCACAAGATGTATGACAGAGTTAAGTTTAAATCTAAGTTTCACTATTTATGTCTTGTGATCTTGGGCAAGACACTTAACCTTTCTGTGCTTTATTATTCTCAGGTAAAATGTGGCCAATAATTTAAGTCTTTAATAAAACACTGTATGCAAAGTGCCTGGCAGAGTAGGTGCTTACCCAATATTTCCTTCCAATCCTCAATCATCCAAACAGGAGTTGTGCTTCATCAACCCTCACTAAGCATCCTCAAAATGATTTTCTTATTTATCCTTTCCTTTAACCCAACTACTATGGCCAAAGTTGAAGCATTCAATCATCTCCTACCTGGATCACTGCTTTTGTTTCTAAACTGGTCTCCCAAATTTTAATCTTCCTCTATTTAAACATACCCTCTGTATTGTTACTAGTTGGTTTTCTAAAATGCACACCATTTCTTTTCCCTGCTCAGTCTTTACCAGGTAAGCAATTAAACATCATCAAAACATAAAGTTCCTTGGTATGGCAAAAACTCCTTCAAGATGTGGCCCCAACCTTTCTAGTTTCTTTTTTCATTTCAGTGCTTAATTTCTATTCCTGCCAGTCTCCAAGCAACTATTCAATTTGATGCCCTTTGGCTCCTTAACTGCCACTTCCTTTATCTATTATCTAAAGGACAGAGAACACTGTCCAGCTCTAGCTAATTATTCCTTCGGTAATCCCTAATCACTCTTGAACATACGGGTCAGAGCATTACCTCCTTGGGGATGTCTCTGCAGCAGTTCCTAGCCAGAATTACTTCTTTTTGTGTATCATTAGAACTTATGTGCTAATATTCTCCCTGCTATGAGGAAAACACTTCACACACCCCCTCTTACACTCCGTTTAAGTATAAAATGTGGGCAAAAGCTCCTACTCTGCAGGTTTTGTGAGCATTAAATGAGAATATCTGCAAATCACCTAATATAATGAAGAAATGAAATGAAGATAAAGTTCCTCAAGTTAACCAAGCAAAGGATGGGAACTGGGAATGACTTTGACCCGCTATGGCTCAGTCTTTCCACTACACACATTGTTTTTCTATGTATTAGCAGATAACACATGGAATTTACTTAACAGTCTTTTCCACTGGACTGTGAAATCCTTGAATACACTGAGCATCGCTACATGACTTTGTATTCCTGACTCTCATTCATTTGAATACTAACTCTAACTGACACTGTGATGAAGAGACTGAAAGGTCCAGTCTCTACATTAAGAACTCTGTCTAGAGAAGAGAGATATATTTGCAACACCCTATTGCTGTTTTCCTTGTGCTAAGTGCTATGCTAGTGGGAAACTGGAGTTATATACAAGGACTATGGGTGCCCAAATGGATACCTAAAAGGGATAGGCAAAAATAAAGGGGCAGGGAAGGGTTTCTGGGGAGAGATGAAACTTGAGGTGAATCTTGAAAGATTAAAAATTTAGGGAGAACAAAGCATTCTGAAGTTCTAAGAAGCATTAATTTTTAAGTGGTATAATTATCAGACTGTTTATACTCTGATAATTGTAAATTTTTATTGCTGATAAACATTTTATGGCCTTGAAAAGCATTTAAAAAATGAATTCATTAAAATAATGGTAATTCAGATTTAAGTCATTATCACAAATACACCAAGGGTAGGTGCGAACTCAGTGCTGGCATGAGAAGCTCATAGGAACAGAGCAGAAATGAAAAATTAATCACCTGGCAGTTGTTTCTATTATCCACCCACATTTGATTGGGATGTTACATATGAGAGTTACAAATAACTAAACATTTCATTCTCTATTAGGTTGTTTCTATTAACAACATGAAGATTTCTAGCATCTGGACATTAAAATAAGTTTGAGTTCTGTCTTTACTACCTACTAGGTTGTGCAACCCCAACACATCAATCTCTTTCTCCCTTACTTCCTTCATCTACTCAGAAGCTGTTTTGGGCTTGGAATGAGAGTGCTTATAAACTGATTTTTCAAACACAGCCTGGCACTCAAGTGTTAATAAACGAGAGCTACTATCGTTACTTTGGAAAAAATAAGCATGGCCAGACGGTTTAAATACTGTTGATCTTAAACATAGTATCCGCCTTGCTTTTAATTAGACATTAGATAGTAAGGATGATGAAAAGAAGAATATATCTTTGCCTTGCACTAAGAGTAAAATAATTTAATTTCAGCTTCTTGGAAGACATGCAAGAATTAAGAATAACAGTCTCTCTACTCTTAAAATTGAAGGAACCACATTTTCTAAGTTAAATAACAGCTCACCCACGACACTCGGAACAAGTGTATCCTGCTTATCATTTGATAGGTGGGGAAAGAAGCTGGAGAGCATCCTTGTTTGAGAAATCACCTGCCATCTCCTCTATAAGTGAATGGTAAACTTCTCCAGGGAAAAGACTGTATGTAACTTATGCCTTAGCTATAATCAAAGCAGCTAGCATAAAGCAAGCAACAAGTAATGAGTTTTCCATGAAGTGTCTAAAGCTTTTGTGCTGTAGGAACTTCTGGGAACACACGCTTAGCAACTATTCACAAAAAATAGCATTCTGGGCATCAAGGTTGCTTCTGATTCTATAATAAAACGCAGGCATCCTTTCCCCCAAAATATGCTCATAACTGCAACATTGGCACGTGGACTTCATAAATTCATCACGAGGGCCTGGAGTAGAGGCTGTTGGCATTTGATCATAACACAGGTAAAATGCCTGACGGACGGAGCTTGGGAGCTTTGTACTGACACCGCATCTGTCCTCTGGCCACGCTGGCTTCACCTCCTTTTTTTCAGCCTGGAGATGTAAGCATTTCCTTTGCGAACATTTGTGACTTATTGCAAACTTGTCTAGGAGGCCCAAACTATCAGAGGAATCTGCAATACCACAAACAACCTTAACAACGTGTGGGGAGGAGAGGCCGGCCCGAGGCCAGACACACTCCAAGGACGCTAAGCTACTAGAAGAAAAACCATCTTTGCAGAGCCCTCCAATCAGTAATAGTTTGTAAAGTAGCATCCTTAAGGTTAAGAGAGTCGAGTACGAGAGGCCTAAAGGCCACTAATTCAACAGATAAAAAGGTGTTAAGTTTGGGACTTGAAAATGAAATAAAAACCTGTTTCAGGAGCGCAGGAGCAAACTGCAGAAGCTGTAATGCCTCAAAGGGACGACCACAAAGGGCCTACGTAACCGACAGGCTAAGCCAAGCCAGCACATTTCTTCGAAACACATCAAGAAAGTGAACTCAGGGAACCAGAACCGGGGTCCTTCTTGGGTGGTCGGCCCTGGTTCTCCCCGGCTGGGCGTGCAGGGGCCACACGGCTCCCGGGCCCGTGCATCCGCCGAACCCCGGGAACATCAAGATAGTGACAAGGTTCCCTGGCCCGCCTCCCAGTCCTCGAGCCCCAGTTCGGGGCCACAGCCCCTTCGGAAAGCTCAAGCACAAGCCCCCAGACCCGCTTCTTACCATAGTGAGGCCGGCGGAGCCCCAGCCACATCACCCTTCCGGGCCCAGGGCGGAAAAGGCGTGCTCGCCCCGCTGCCCCTCTCGCTCCTTCCGGCGTTCCGGTTGGGCCTGTCGGGGCCCCGCCTCCTGAGCCGCGCGCTCGGACACTGGGATAGGCTCCTATCTATGGGAGTAAGGCGGGACTTGAGGACGTCACGCGCCCCGGCGGAAGTAAGTGACACTCTGATTGGCTGCGGGGCGCCAGCCGGGGGAGCGGGCCTTTTGGAGGAGAGCGGAAGTGGAGTCCCTGCGAGGTAGGGCTGGGACGTAGGGGGTGGCCCTTTTAAGTAACAGTAATTTTAAAACTGTCTTTTTTTGTCTTTTTCTCTTTTAATTTTTTAATTTTCATTGTTTTTAGTTCCCCTTTTTCCCCCTGTCTAGAACAGCGCGGTGCTTGGATATTTCCCGACTAGGATCCCCCTTTAATGTGTAAGCTACGGGGCCATCCGTTTGTTGACCCCGGGAGGCCAGGGTTCGCCGGCCTGGTCCGCAAGGTGTGCACCTGCTGGGCCCTCTTTTCAGTTTCTCCCTTTGCACCTGAGGGATTCTTTGGGTCACAAAGCATCTTTGAAATGCCTCTTAATGGTTTTGGATTAGGAGGACCCTCGAATCTGGAGGGTTGTGTGGAGTCGGCTGTTTGGTCTAACCCTGGCCTTTTCTCTCTCCCGCCCCCCGGTCTTTGTAAACTGTCGGTGGGTTGCATCTGGGGCTGAAACGTTTGGCGCTTTGGGATCAGGAACCACTCACTTTCTGTGGTGATAAATGGAAAGCAACTGCCCTTTCTTGAGGTCAGTAGCCGATTATGTACTCTATAGAGAAGTGATCCACCAGCGAGACAAATCACATGCCAACTTTTTTTAAAATTAGTAGTAGTATTTAGCTTCCTCTAATTTTAATAACCCCGGTAGGTGAGACTTTATTCCCCCTCCCCTTTTTTTTGTTTTGTTTTGTTTGTTTTTCCCCCCAGAAACTGGCGCGCTGATATATCCAGTTTGCATAGTTTTTGGAATTATTCAGAGTTTATTCCTCTGCCCCATTAAGTGAATCAGAAAATTATGACAACTTGTTGGCTCCAAATGTATAGTTTATTTTTCCTCACGTAGCAGAGGGTTCTTTTCAGAATGTTTTTTTAAAAACTCTTTATTAACTCAGAAAATGGATAAAGAAAAAAAGGGAAAGTGTGCAGTATCCTCTTCCTATAAAAAACAAACAAGCCGTTTATACGTTACAATACTTGCCATTCAAATTAAATAATCTTGGCTTAGTCATGGAAGTTATGTGCAACTCATCAAGCTTGGCTTCTGAAGTAGTAAATGTGTCCTGACGTTATAACTGTTTTTGCTTTCATGTCAAGGTCATCTTCATCTTTATGAACACTTAAGGGTAATACTTCTATGTGAAGCTGTGCTTCAAGCTACTTGTGAAGAGCACTAGGAAACTGAAGTTGTTACAGATCACAGTTGATTTCCTGTATTTACGGATTACAATAAATTTTAGGCCATGGTCACTTAGGAACTTAAGCTTCAAAATGGTAAAGAACAGTATTTGCCAGTTAAAGTTGTCCATTGAGGAGCACAAAGAGCAATAGATGAAGCTGAACCATATATGTATAGCGTTTTTGTGGTGTTTTTTTTCATGTAACACAGCAAACAAAATTAATCTGACCTGTGATAAGAGGTGGGGAGTTAGTCGTTGAGCTACATGGTCATTAAGCACATAAACCCCCTGTTTTGGTTTTCACTGCCAATGAACTACTTTAAGTACTATCATATTGCTATTTCAAAAGTATACTTTCTGGCAGCTCTGCTATGGGTTTTCATTTCTTAGTAAATCATCTTTGATCCTTTTCTTACTAAAAGTAAAATCTATGTCTCCTTTTTCAAAAATGACTGCCTTTTCTGTGTCTAGAAGAGTATTTTTAATTTTGGTTTCATGGGTTCCCTAGAATTTTATGTAAAAATAGTGCATATTTATATTTCTCTGTGGAGAGAGTTCTTGGCTTCTCTAGTGTTATGAGAATTAAATGAGTTCATACAAGTAAATCATCTCACCAAGAATTTGGCATTTAATAAGCACACAGTAAGCACTGCCTATTGTTGTGTGCCTGGCTTTCTCTTTCACTAAATTAAAAATTTCTTGAAGGGAGGGATAATGATTTAGAGCTGATTGACTTGCATGTTAGGCACTCAATAAAAGATTTTTGAAATAAATTGGTACTGCTTTTATACCACCAGACCACTTTCTTCCCCTTTTCTTTTTTTACTTTGATATTGAGTGTTGAAGGATTCCTTTTATATGATTTCCCATATTCTTTCATTCAGTGATATTCTCATATGTTAAATGGTTTTACTTAACTGCTTGTTTACTCTGAGCCTCAAGTAGCCTCCATAGTTTGAGGTTGAGGTTCTTCGTGTTCTAGTGTTTGTCCTCTCCCCCCTTTTATATTATTCTCTTTCCCATGGCTCTTAGATTAAGATCCATAAAAGTTTTGTTTGACCTGAATGTTATTATTTTTTTAACCTTAAGAAATGCTTCTCTTAACCTTTCTCCACTTCCAATCCCATTTATTTGCTCTTCTGAAACATACTTTAAGGAGTTGTCTATGCTCCAAACCCTCCCCCCCGCATTCTTTCTTGTATGGGGGGAAAAATAATGTTCCTTCCTACTCTTACAAAGTTCTGGCTGCAGTAATGATCAAATTAATGTAAGACACGTTAACTGGAGAAAATGGCCAGGTTTATTACATATGTACATATGGGGGGTTCCATAAGAATTTGTGACTAGAGGACAAATTGGGCAGTTAAGGCTTATATGCCATTTTGAACCCAGGAGAAGGGGTAAGGGTGGTGGTTTGGGACTACACAGGAGAGGGAGGCAAACATGGAGATAGAAAAGCAAATGTTTGGTAAATAAATGTTTGCTGGGCCATCTTTAACAATGGGTACGGAAAGGACTTTGATCAAATGAGCCTTCCTAGGTTCCTCCTTATTACACACTAGTTCTTATTAAGCTATAGTTGTCTATGATGATAGCTCTCTTCTCGGAGCAGGTCCTTTGTCTAAATTCTTTTAAACAATTGGGAGAAGGTTAAAGGTTTTTCCTGAGTCTTTTGTTTCTTTAAAATAACTCACTTGAGATCTTTTAAAAATGGCTATTGTTCCCACGCTCCCCCAAATGCTTTATTTTTTATTATTTATTTCTTTTTTACCCTCACCCAAGGATATTTTTTCCATTGCTTTTCAGAGAGTGGAAGGGAGAGAAAGAGAGGGAGAGAGAGAAATATTCATGTGAGAGATACACATGGATTAGTTGCCTCCCGAATGTGCCCCCACCAGGGCCAGGGATTGAGCCTGCAACTGAGGTATGTGCCTTTGGCCGGAATCGAACCCCAGGCCCTTCAGTCCGTGAGCCGACACAAACCACTGAGCCAAACTGGCTAGAGCCCCAGATCCTTTTGTTAGTGTCACCTGTGATTTCTAGGTGTTAATCATTCTCAGTCTTTATATTTGACCTATAAGCAACCTTTGATGCCACGGATCATTCTTTTCTCCATGATGTATTTTCTTCACTTGATTTCCAGGACACCACACTTGGTTTCTCTTCTACCTCATTGGTTGCTCCTTCTCAGTCTTCCTTCTGTTCTTCCCGATCTCTTACTATTGCAGCGCTCCACGGCTCAATCTTTGGTTGTCTTCTTTTCCTCTGTCTATACTTCCTCTTGATGCTGTCGTGTCTTAATGACTTAAATACCGTCTGTATACTGAAGACTAGCAAATTCATATTCCTAGTCCCCTCTCTTTTTGAACTCCAGGCTCACATACCCAGTTTTCTACCAATACATCTCCACTTGTTTAAGATATTCAAACTTAAATGTCACAAACTGAACTCTTTTACCCTCAAACCTATCTCATTCTATCTCATTTCAGTTGATGGCGATTCTATACAGCCAGTTGCTAAAAGTTAAATATTTGAGTCATCCGCCACTCTTTCTCTTATATTCCATCCAAATCCATCAGCAAATCCTATTGACTCTCTCTATAAAATATATCTAGAATTTGGCCATTTCCTACTATTTCTACTTAGTGTACTGATCATCTCTTGCTTGGATATCTGTTATTAACTACTATAATTTCTTGCTTGGATTATAGTAATAATATTCAATCTGGTCTCCCTGCTTTCTTCAGTCCTTGCCTCTCTATAGTCTATTCACATACAATTGCCAGAGCGATACTTTTAAATATAAGTAAAAATTTGTATTATAATTAAGGTTCTAAATGCAATGTGTTATCCTAGATTGGGTCCTGGAATAGACAAAAGATATTAGTGAAAAAAACCTGGTAAAATCTGAGTAGTTGGTGAGTTCAGTTAATAGTATTGCACCAATGTTGGTTTCTTTGTTTTGATAAATGCACCGTGGTAATATAAGGTGTTAATATTAGAGGAAACTGGGTGAAGGGTATATGGGAACTCAGTATTATCTTTGCAACTTTTCTGTAAATTCAGGATTTTTCCAAAATAAAAAGTTTATTAAAAAAGAATGTCACATTGCTTTTTCTTGCCTAAAAGCCTTTTATTACTTCTTCTTTGACTCATGGTAAAAGCCAGCATTCTTACACTGGCCTGTAAGACTTTACATGACCTGGTTTGCCATTCCCTCTCTGACTTCATCCTTTGTATCCTCTGCCCCTCACTGTTCCAGCCATACTGGCTGCCGTGTTTCTTTAACAGACTAGGCCCATTTCCACCTTAGGGCCTTTGTACTGGCTGCTTTATCTACTTGGAATGCTTCTTCCCAGGCATCCACACAACTAATTCCTTCACTTCCTCTATGTATGTTCAAATGTCACCTTTTCAATAAAGCCTACCTCTAATTTAAACTGCAGCTTTGCAACTGACTCCCCTTTTCCCCCAGCTGGCCTCTGCATTCCCAGTTTCCTCTACCCTGTTTTATCTTCTCCTTTTACTATAGCACTTACCACCATATTTTGCATACTTATTAGTTGTATTTTTAATTGTTC